GCGCTCCCGGGGGCGGGGCTCCGGCTCCCCGCAGCAGGTGGGGCGCGGGCGGTCAGCAGCGCCCCGGCCTGACACCGTCCCCCACATCGCGGGACGTGTCGGTCGCCCTGCGCGGCTTGCAGCAGGGCAGGCGGAGCGACTTAGGGAAAAGTCACCCGATGACTAGATCTGGCTAATGGGCCTTCTCAGATGAGCATCGACATTTCGTATGAGGTACTTTTTTGCTTTTTTGGACCACCTTTTTTCCTCCCTCTCCAATAGCCTTGGGGGGGGGGGTCCGCACAGGTAAAGTGTAATTTTGACGTTTTTTTGTTTTGTTTGTTTTGGCGGCTAGCCAGTATGGTAAATGTAACACAGGCCTGGCTGGCCCAACACCTTTCCAGAAGAATGAACTACCTCCAAATCAGCCAACTACTCTGCCCTCTATAAAGGGTAATATTTTCCACTTAGGCCTATATTACTTTCTTCAACTGCACTCTCAAACTCACCTCCAAATGAAGAAAAGTCTGAGAGAGATGGAATAATTAAAGAAAGCAGCAGGGGCCTGAAAGCAAACAAGCTCTCATATCATACTACTTACTGAGACAAGCAATGTCATTTATCTCAGTGCTGGAACATTCAGAAAGAACTGATGGAGAAACTGAGGAAGAAACATGGGGAGGGTGACCACGGGTGGTGCTGAGGGTAGAGAGAAAAATTATCATACAGGGGAGAAAAAGAAAAAGACTCAGGAGAGTGTAAAGAGAAGTGGATAGAAAGTGGGGTACAGACATAGGGAGAGAGAGGAAAACCAGGAAGGCAGAAAGAGAAAATAAGAAAGAAATAAAAGAGAGAAGGGAGAGACTGCCCACTCCGACAGAAAAAGGAAGAGAGTATAAGAGCCAGTAAGCCAGGTTGTGAGAAAGGGAGATCCCAATACTCACTGACAAAGAGAAGAGGGATACCTCTCATATCCTTGAACCCTTACACGAGAAACAACGTTAGGGAAATAAAACAAATTTGCCCCTCAGATGTGCTTGGAAAAGGTAAATATGAAAACATTCAGCTCCTTGGTTGCTTTAGCTCCACGCTGAATTTTACAGAGTCAACTTACACAAATTTACCCCTGCAAACACCCAACTTGACAGTACCAAGGACATGCCACAAATACTCAGGAAACCTCAAAACCAAACTTCCTTCTAACCACACTGAAAAAAAAAAATGCATCAAGGACTCTCACCATGGAAACCGATGATGCCTGAAAAGAAGCAAACTAATGAAAGAGAGGAAAGAAATCCCAGGGCCAAAAAGGGGCTGGAGCAGTGCAACTGTGATTAAATCCTTAGTAAGGTTTTTGGAAGGAAATCTGAGGAAGTCCCTCAACCTCAAACACCCCCTTAAGTCTATTTTGAAATATATTATTTTGCACGTATCCTATCTGTCATTCCCCTTAATAAAGATCATTGTGTCCTTGATTAAAATGTAACTGGCAATGTCACTGACAATATCATGAACAAATTCCTGATGGAGAGGGTATGTAGGATGGAGGTGATGCTGTGACAGAGATGAAAAGGAGCACACAGGAGTGAGGGAGAGAAACGCAGAGCAAGAGGGGCAAAGAGAGTTATGAGAAGGAGACAAAGAGAGGGAAAGAACAAAGACCAAAGAGGATGAGGTGAATGCAAAGACAGGGGGAGGCAGAAAAAGAGAAAATAAGATGGAGGCAGAGATAAGGAAGATAAGAGAGACAAACAAGAGATGACAAAGAAAGGGGAAGAAAGAGAAGGACTACCCACTGATAGAGAAAGGGAAGAGGGACATTGCTCACATGCAAACAGTTCTGGGGGAAATGAAGCCATTTAGGCCCCTGGGTTGTTACCTGGAAAAGACAAATATGAGAACCTAAGGCTCCTTGATTAGCTGGCTCCACAATTATTTTTCAGACTTAATTTTTAAAAATTTACCCATTAAGCCTTATACATAAGTGTACCAATATCAAAAGCACTGGAAATACTGAAGACATCTAAAAAACAAACATTCCTTCAAATTGCTCTGGAGTAGAATGATCCACCATAGACACTCAAGAAAACACTGATGATTCAAAGCTGAAGGACACAAATAGAGGGAGAGGAGAGGAAAGGATTCTGAAGGCCAAGGTGGGTAGGGGCAGGGCAACCCACAGGGAGCTCAAGGAAGCAAAGTCTGCCCCTCATATCTGCTCTGGGTTATCTCTACACCCTCCACACCAGATCCACCTCTAAACCCTCCCCAAACAGCCAACTACTGTGCATAGTGCCTGACACAGAGTGGGTCTCCAAAGAATACTAGATGGTTTTTTATTTTTATATTTTGGTGGCTGTCTGTGGTACAGGGATCCAACCCTTGACCTTGGTGTTACACTTGGTGTTACAAGGCCTCACTCTAACCAACTGAGCTAACTGGCCAGCCCTAGATGGTTAAGGTGTATGTAAGGTTGTCTGAGGGGAATTTCAAGAAGTCCCTCAATCTCAATCTCAATCTTCCTCTTAAATCTTTTAAAAAATACATTATTTGTCATCCTCCATCCAGATGATAATGACATTTTCGGAAATATTCACAAAAATGGTAGTTCACTTTTAAGTTCAAAGGGTTATTTCATGAACACCCCTGGACTTGCATTTTGTTTAAAGTAATTTTATATCACACAAATACATTTTAAGTATAAAAAGTACATTATTGCAATAACCTTTCGCAAGTCCAAAATTCTTGGTTTGTAATAAAATTATGAAGTTTTTTTTTAAAAAAAAACAGTAAAACCATCAGTGTATCTACTGTAAAAGTCCAATGTTCTAAGTTCAACAAGTTGCAGAAAAACATTTCTAAAGCAACTTATAAATTGAAAAGAAATTACCTGCATTTTTACCTCTATATTATTATCTCTAGTATTTTCTCCTTCTCAAACATAAATTCACATACTCTATAATGTTGCTCTTGAGTCAGCCATTCCATGTGGCCTCAAGTTACATATTCCTAAAATCTTCACACGTTCTCTTCAAAATGTCTCTGGTAACAGACTGAACAGATAATCTTTTTATCTGCAGTGGTGATATCATCCGTATTGTTAATTTTGCTAGGTAGGTGTCTTCACATTCTTGAAGTTGATTCTATAACTTTGGTAGCCTACTTCTCTTAGCAGAACATATGTCTAAAATCATTTAACAATGTCTGGAGACATTTTCGGTTGTCACAGCTGGGAGGGGGGCTCTACTGACATCTAGTGGGTAGAGGCCAGAGATGCTGCTAAATATCCTACATGCACAGGAGAGCCCCCTTTCCCAAAAAGAATGATCTGGCCCAACATGGTCAACAGTGCCAAGCTTTAGAAACTTTGTTCTACATCCAACTACCACTATATAAGCTACAGGACAGAGGAACGTGTTAAACTATACCAGAGGATGCACCCAGCAAAATCTGGACTGTGGGCCATTTTATAGGACAAACAACATGATTTCTTCAGCAAATAAGTTGCAAGAAAAAAGACAGAAAAATCTCTAGATTAAAAAAAACCCTTAAAAGATATATGAATATCTGGTCTTATAAAAAAGACAAGACTTATCTTTCCACTGTAGTAAACAACTACAAAACTAGACAAAATATATATTGTTTTCAGACAGCGAAGTAAACATAGCACAGGACTCTGATCCCTAAGAGACGGGATCACAACAAACAAAGTGAGCCCTACAACTGCCCCAACCTTCTGCCTAAAAGTGCATTCTAGACCATGGCACAGGAAGGGGAAAGCCAGGCAGAGTGTGGCACTCTTGCAAAGTTGAGGAGACAGGGATCGTAATTCCAGGAGACTGGTGTAGCTAGAATCTGTAGGACAGAGTACCAGGGAGGAAGGAGGTAAGAAGAGGAAGAGCTCTAGAATTTGCATAGGGAATTTCTTAAACTCTTACTGAATACTAAGCTGCACATGTGTAGAACAAAACCTCACAAGGATGGGCAAAGCATTTCTAAGGATCTGTAG